TTCACCTTAGTAAAATTTTTAACCATTTGTACACTGTACTCTTGCCAACTGTGTCTTCACCCCAAATGAGATTGATGTGTTCACTTGTCACCGTGGCATTTGAGCCCAACCGCCAATCGTGAATCATCAACAACCTAGTTTGCTCTCTTGTTATCTCCATCCAACCTGAAAGGAGAAGAAAAATTATATACCAATCAACGAGGGAGAAGACGGGCTTTCAAATGAGCACAAAACACAAGAAATGGCCGACACCCAAGAAAGTTATAAGCATGTTTTCAAGACTTTTTCTCCTACCTATAAGAATACTGATTAAGTGCGCATTCTTGGAATTTCGAATATAGCCTGGTATGGCGTTCCGTAAAGCCACTGTTATAACGGGTCGGGTATATAAATAAATTAGCTGGTGTTCTATACTAATAACAGATAATAATAATCCTGCCCGTTCTCTCAGTCTATAGCAAAACGACTTTAACAAATCGTAGCTTTTCTGGATAAAGCTTCTCACATATCGGCGATTGGCGCTGACGCCTTAGGAACTTTTGACAAGGACAGTTTTCAGAGTTTGTGTGACTGAGTCGTATATAACCAGTCATCCGTAATAAAGACGAATCAATCAAGTACTCACCCAGAGCACGATTGGTGTTGTCTCATATTCCAGACTGCAATACTCAAACTCATAGCTGGTCAACGGAAACAGTCACATTTCACATCAATTATCAATTAAGGCATAAAAGATACGTTCTTCATACTTGTCATGGAGTTAGTTGGTAAAAGTGTTGCACATCTAGAAGCGTCACACCCTAATGAAGTATGGACTTTTACACTTATCGCTGTCATCGTAGATTTAGAAAAATTTTTTCTGTCTTCAGGTCTTCACAGTACCAACTAATATGGGTGCAGGCATATAATGTCAAGAGGCATGTGAAGATTTGCATGAGCGCGGTTTTATACATCGAGATCTAAAGCCGGCCAGTCGCGCATGTGATTTGGGAGACAAGAAAACGAGTGGTAAGGGATTATATTCTAGAAGATCGCAACCGCTGCAGAATTCATAAGCAAAATTGCGGATTTTATGAATGATCTAAACAAATTCTATGTATTTAGCCACTTTTAGCGGTAATATAATGATCAAGATATACCCATTAATTCAAAGCGAAGTGCAAAGATTTCATAAACATTAATAGAAGTTTTAGGTATATGTACTTGATTTTGGGACAGCATGAAAAATTACAAATTTGAAAGGTGAACTAAAAACACCGCGACAAAGTGTACTATTCAAGATAACTGATTTATTTAACCTTCAATCTTCGCCCCTCTATAATTTAACTAATCACCTTTCGATACCTATACTCTCTGCTAGCTCTTTTATAAAAGAAAGAAAGAACTACTGCCTTATAGAGGTAAAGATGATTTAGAAACTTTTTCTGCATCATTTTTAGCGTCGATCTCTAAAATATCACTGCATGGCGGTGAGGTTTGCAAACTCACGAAACGCTCAATGTAAGGAAACTAACTCAGTCTGAGTGTGAGAAGCAACAGCGAACTGTTTTGTCGTACTGAGCAATATCACGCTTATTTAAGTCTTTGTTTTTGCACAATAAGAAAGCAAACACTTGTGATTACTGTAATGAGGATTTGGCATAATGGGCGCGTTTGATAAAGAGGGATTAAGGTAACAATATACATCTACCGTTTCAAAAACTTCGGAGCATCGCTTTTATGAATAGTATCTCTTACCAGATCGAGTGGTTTCTAACTTTTTTAACGTTCTAGATTTGAAACTGGAGGCTATTTAACATTCTATTCATTAAGGCAACGATTTGATCTGCTTCAATGGCCTGATACAGAAATGTTGAGATGGGTCCTTAAGATGACTGTGAATCATGGTTTTATCTGATATTGGATATAACAATTTCAGCAGGTTTATTTTTCGACAAAAATTTCAAATTGATCGATCTTTAGCATATCTTATATAAAAGAAATTGCAACGAAAGAATTGATCGAACCAACAACTAAGAAATGATCAATAACAGTTGAACAGTAGTGAGATCATAGTTGTGGAATTTATGGACATATATTAGAAAAAACATACTGTTCTTGTAATAATCTACACAAATTTTTAGTTTCCCTGCCTTTAAGTAATCATATGATGTTCTATCTCCTTGACAAGAGATTACGGAGAGTAGCACGACGGCGGCGTCGCGTTTCACTCGGCTACTGTATATCGATGGCGTCCGCCCTCTTCAGCAATTTGTAAAGACGGACTCTGCAATGAAAATAAAGGACACTATTAGGTAAGCTACGGTTCCAGCAAAACACTATCATTATTGTATTGTAGGATTTCGCTTGAAAAGCTTTTATAAGGATAATTTCAATAAGTATTATATCAATGTGCCAACAAATTCTTACGTATTATTGAGTGAAACTTTATCTGTAATTTCTTATTATTTCTTATGAGTATTAGTGATACACGTAAAGATAGTATTTGACCGTTATTTGGTGGTTAAGCAAATTTTTTGCGCCTTAGTCAGTAGTCAGAGATAGTCCGTACACGGAGTTCACCACTTGGATCAAAAAGAGGAGTGATCGGTTAACATGATTCAAAGGTTCTCATATCAGTACTGCATTTCCGTCAGGGACAGCAGCAACATTTTTGGCGCCCGGAATAAAATTGCTCCCGTAGTTTTTGCTACTTCCTCAGATGATTCCGAATCACAGTTTCAAAATGTAGTACCTATGTAGCATTTGTGCTATGACGATAAAAATATGGGTGAAAAAAATGCAGAAGTGGGAAATTAAGAAGGAATAAACAAACAAACTAGCAAAGAATTGTTAAGATTGTTAGACATTACGCTTTCAGAAGTTCCGTATCAAAAACTGGCTTTACAGGTTTAGTATGAAAATCGAAAAACGAGAACGATGACGTACTAAAAGTGAAGAAGCAAATGCGTACCAAAAAAAGAGTGAGTGGCGATAATATCACTTTTAGAGAATTAGGAAGCGCGAAAGTTAAAAGTGCATCTACTTAGAAGGTCGTTCAACCTAAATCCATTATGGAATCACCCGACTCCTTATGTTTAGAGACATTCAGTGATTGACATCTAGCCTACGTTAGTGCCATGAAATGATCACAACTGTTGTACGGTGTCTTTTCGTTCAGTCAGTTCGTCGGGAATCTGTGGTCACATTATATTGCTCTTGAGCGAGTTCTCAAAATAATCGATTGTATTGATTTCCACATATACTCACGTAGCAGGCATACATATGCATTTGACCATCAAACACTCCGAACGTGCATCCCGGTGACTGTTTCACCGCAAGTTGAGTGTAAAAAGTTCGTAATCGTTTTACCCGTATAGGGGTAGATCCCCGAGCAACTGAATGAACGAAATGGGACTGTACAAGTGATGAGGCTGGAAGGCCAAAGCACTTGTATTTCACTGTATAAGTGCTCATAACAGGCCTCATGATAGGCTTAAGCGACATTGGCAGATTGTGACATTCTTGAGTGGGGTGTGAATATTGTCGACTGCATTGATTAACCACGAATGTGCTTCGTTTGAATAGCTCAGAAGAATTGTTTTCTTGTTTATTTATCAATATGATCGTCACTAATATCATCACACTTGTTCTCTCCGTCATCATAGCCAATTTCGCTGTCTTAATCACTTCTGAAAATTGTATGACCAAGCGCAATGCTTCAGGATGTTGCTCCTGGTAGTGTACCATGCAAAGTTGACAGCTTGAAGTATCACGGTCATGTCGATTACGAGTTCATCTACAAATTATCAGAGCAGGTTTGAAAAATATGATTGCGATTACATTTATTATTATTAATGTAGTATAGAGTTGTTGGCTATAATTTATCTCTACTTATTCCGTTGACTGGGAAGAGCATAGCAAAGTGACTTCTGTCAAAGGCAAGCATTATTTAAACTTTGAGGAACAAAGCCTTTTTACCTGTCCTCAAAATTTCCGGAAGTATTGGAAAAGCCTTTTTAGTGCTTCATAGCAAAGAAGTTAAAAATTAAGTTTCACACTAGGCGAATTTCGATGCGCTTTTTGCTGGAAAGAGATTTCCATTTGGACTTTTGGTGACCATTCGTAAGCGTATCTCACGCGATCAGCCTGTGCTCGTTTGCCAAAATTGCTTTTAGTATCAGCGAAAATAAAATTGACTTTTACAGTAGGCGAGCAGTTTTTGTTATGCAAGGGAATGTGATGACACTGTAAATGTTTTTTCGTAACATTCCCAACAAATGGTGTCGAGGTGCCAGGGCTTATGGATGGTCTTATAAAAGACCTTATAGTTGCATAGTAGCGTGAATTCAGTTGATTTGAAACTAGGCTTGGTTATTGAAAAGATATTCACAGAACATTTGAAGAGACAAAAAAGATGGCGTTTTGCACTCTAGGCTGCTTAGGCTAATGCTTGTAGCGAGTTTGGTGAAAATCAAAAGTGGATGGAAATACCTGAAATTTTCTAGAAAAATGTTGGATTAGTTCCAAATAAATAACGAAAACACGCACAAATTGCTTGATCGTCGATTATGAAGTTCATCATATTTTTTTCCTCTTGAAGCCACATTGTTGGCTTTTTCACAACTAAGTGAGGTATCAAAGTTACCAAGATTTCGGTATCAAATCTTTTCTGGAATTCCATCAAAAGAGGAAAGTCTTAACCCCTCAATGGTACAAAAATGAATCGGAATATCAGAATTGCAAAGACTGCCGTATAAATGAGATGGTTTGCCTGTCTTTGTTTATGTACTCATAAAGTTATGAAGTTACTGTGAATCGCACCAATGAGAAAACTCCGGGAATGCATAATGAAACTGGTTTTCACATCTTTTTCTCCAAACATCTCCAATCACTACAAATTTTATAGTAGATGTGCTTCGTTTTCATTTGCGTCACCGTGACACGTTTCAGGCTAGAGCTTGAAGGCAGCAATCATGGTGAGCTAGCCCCTACGACTTCTTCACTTGAGCCAATAGATTTGGTGCGTTGGCCGGGGATCAAACCCGGGTTGCCCGAGTAGCAATCCAGCATTCTACCATTGAACCAAGGCGGACAATAATATCTAGGCAATCGGCTCGGTTTATTCTCTCTGAAAATAACAAAAGCGTCGCAACGTTGTCTAAATAGATCTACTTTTATCAAACTCGTGTTACTACGTGTTATATCTTCAATAAAGAATGAGAATTGCTACAGTTCTGAGAGTTTTTTTTTGTTCAAATTGTTTACGTTGAAACATGAACGGTGATATTATATTCAGCAAACATACCATTACATTTGTGAAGTTTGTTTCAAAAATCAATTCTTGGGATAGTCTTCCTGTATTCTGTATCCATATCTTTACATCACTGTGTTTTTAAAAGTCTGACGCTACACAAGTACAAGGAGTGATTTTTGAGCATCAAAAGAGCTACTGAAAGGATCCACAAACACATTTGAAACGAATAAAATATTTAAAACAGAAAGAGTATAGTATTTTCAAGAAGTATTTGTGACGAGTGTAGTTGGAGGAAGACTTGTTGCCTTGCTACCCGAAGAACCTTTCTCTGCTGCTGAGGAAAACTGCTCGTCATCCTCTTGGTCACTAATATTCTTTGTGTACGAAGAATCTATTGCCCACAGCCATCACATAAGTTCGGCTGGCGATTCAGTAACATGGGTTTTTTAGGTTTGTTGCTGTTTTTTGATTGCTGACTGCCCATTGTTGATTGCATATGGCAAGTGAGTATTAGTTTTTGCTTTCATTTATGAAATCAATGCGCTAACACTCCCCTGATTATCACATAGTTTCGCCTACGTTTTTACAAGGCTCTGGTGAATAATCAAGTGAGTTTTAGATATACCCAATAATGTAGAGTGGATTGCAAAACCTTTCGGTTTGCGAGACTCTAACCCGTACTTCACCCTATGCGGGGCGCGCGTTCCATTCTTTGCTCTACCGATGCCTACACTGAAATTACTCTATAAACGCTATAACGCATCTATATGTACGAAGAGTGGTGGCTAAACAGTCGTAGTGGAAGATATAGAATGTGCCCCTCCCCTCCGGATAGTGAATTGCGGGTTCGAGTCTTGCCTGTCTCTAAAGTTTTGTACATAATTTTACATCATTGGGTATACTTATAACATCATATCACCGCCAGAAGCGGTTAAATAAAAGGAAGTCTCTTTGACCAGGTGAGTTTTTCGAGTGGAAGAGAGAGTTTCTCTGCTACACTAACACTCGAAAATACTTGTGCAGTTGTCTTAAATAGTTTGACATGCCGTCAGTGGACGCTATAAGTATAGTTTCAGTCACAGTTTATCGTTATATTCTTATTGTCAGCACCGGTGCACTATATTCCTGTATGCATGAGTCGGTGTGTATCTAGAACGCTTCAATACCATCTTTGTAATTCCTTGGCGTGACATGTAATGCGGAAATGCAACTCTATGCGGTACAAACCAGAACTAAAGATCTTTGATTAACTGCATGATGTGAAAAATTCTAAGAAAGTGAATAAATGAGTGTGTCCGCAGAATTGACATTCATTTACGGAGCTTCACCCAGATTTTTTTTTCAAATCTAATATTACTCAGGCCTACGAAACTCTTCGATCACTGTCAAAGGAGACTAGATTGATAGGTTGTGAAGTTGTTAGTTGATTAAATAAGTACACTCCATTTTTTCAGACTGTCTGAACATCATTAACTTGCACTTTCATGACAGTGCTTTAATGGAGATATGTCTCCGGTTTATTATGTTATATCCAAGAAATGGAGCGCATGTAGCGTAGCTGATAAAAACGCCTTGCGTTACATATATATTCGTTTCTTCAATTCGGTGATCACTGTGCGCTATGCCTCATATGCTTTGCGGATCAAAAAACCCACCACTGTTTTCTGGAGGAATGGCAGTACTGACTTAATGCATCGGTTGGCGGGTAGCAGTCAACCTCAAGGTCAGTCATGCATAAAGTCACTCCTAATATTTTTGATAAATCGAACGCATACGCACATCTCCTTCGAATTACTCATCGAAGGAAGCCTTGTCCTCTATAATCCTTACTAGGTGACCTGTTCAAATGTTGTTTTTTTAGATAGCTTTCCTTCCTGACTCCTACCTCATTGTTCTGCTTTCTATTTGTAACCCACTAAAAAAATGTAATTTCGTACCATTTGTTTAGAGTGTTTTCTTAACACCACGCTCAAATTTCAATCACCTGTATCACCTGTCGTCCCGTTGATCGTCGAGTGACTCGAGCGGGTACCAGGAACACTTCCATTTTTCCCTATAGCGTGCAAGAGTAGCCCAGTGGGTCCTCCTCGCTCTAGGTATGTATCTGCTCTCCATTCACTTCATCATCACTAATTTTGCCTTCACTCCTCTAATCTATTTCAATCTGTACGGGAATTACATATACATGTATACACACATATATATGCTTATGCATGTATAAATGTACTTATCTATGAGTACTGTATATGTACTTATATATATACACATGTATATATATGCATATGCATGTATATTTGTACTTATATATATGTACACATATGCATGCATATATACACTTTGTTTTTTCAAAAATCCATTTCAATCCTATTCCACCAACACCAGCCAAATCCTGGTGAATCCTTTATGGGAGCATTTCATTAATGGATCTGCTGAAACTGCATCGCTTCACTTGGGCGCCGAACGCTAGGAATATTGCTGTTCAGCAAATTTGCTCTGCCAGCGATCAACTCACAACGCCAACAATGAAACCGCAGCTCTGTATGAATGCCAGAGTAAAGTGAATATTGTTGATTCAAAAGTGAGACGAAAGTAAAGTGAGCAGAATATCATTTTATACGATAAGATAGCATTATGACGCGAGTGGTGCATTGGTAGGAGTGTCCTGCGACACCCATGGCCGATATTTCAACCCCGCATCGAAGACTCCCCAGACCCTTTATTTCTCCGAGATCGGTGAACTGGTACAAGAGTTGTTTGAGAGCATAACAGCATTGACTTGATACATCGATAGGCTGCCGCGTGTTATTGCAAAGGGCTAGGTAGACATTTCCAAAACCGGCAATCTATTGACCTTGACATTCTTCAGTAACTTCTTGTTCGTTGTTTGTGAGCCAAACGCGAGTTTGTTACAATACAATTTGCACGATAAGCTGACGTTTATGTGATTTCGCCTTCTTCAGAGTCTGAAATGATCAAGTTCCTCACTGTCCAGTCAGCAAACACCTCCATTACTTCGGCAGAAATGATCACCAAACCAAGAATGCACAAAACAGCTTCCAACCTGCTTGGCTCTTTTCCATGCGTTGAGTGTGATGGAGACTGGGTGACCATGAAATGCGGTAAATATGTTGAAAAGTTGTTTTGTGCATGGCGCCCTTAAAGTATGAGTTTGATGACTTTTTTATTAAACTAGGCATGATTCATCTCTCAAAATTTGATCTACGTTTAGTGCTATATCTTGGAAATATGCCTTGATACCTTTTGGTATACGGAGTGAATCTCATAAAAATCCTGCTTTGGAAGTTGATATGATCAAGAAGGAAACATCAGTGTTATATGTTCAATCATTTCCTCAGGATCTATATTACTGCAGGATGATTCTAGAGATTGTGTAAGACATTGAGAGATAACTCAATAAGTCGACTAACAATGACTTGCAATAATTGCATCAGTAAGCGTCTAGGATATTGCTTAGGAAAATGTGTCAGCATTCTTGATTCATGTTTACCTTATTTGTGAATACTAATGAACATGACATTGATAGCAGTTAGAATCTATGGAATAATAATCTATTTTCTTTATTTCACAGATTTTTTAATTTATGGTAAAAACTTGTTGACTCACTGCAAAATTCACCAACATCGCGGAATATAGTGCATTCAGACAATATGCACATTCAAATCCTGCCCCTACCTTTTGTCACCCAATAAGTGCTAAGATGAAAAAGGTAATCTCACAGGACAATCATATGCCAATCTCGAATTATCCGATTATATAGGTATGCTCCCATTTGGATTACTTTCAATCGGATCATGCCCTCGAAATATTGCGCATTTTGAAAAATTACTTTCACATGTGTATTGGAATTTAACCTTTCCCTGACTTGTTTACAATTAACTTCCACGAAAACGATTACGGAAAATTGGTAGCCGTACAAATAAAGATATTAAAGAACTCCGTGTTTCCTTTGATTGAATAAGCTTGCTTTAACACGTTGGAGACACCGTGTAACTTTGCTGGTACACGATTGTTTCAAAGCATTTTTGCTGGGCAGATTTCATCCTCATGCTTCCGATAATCTTTCGATGGCTTAAATTCGGTAATAATGTGCTAGATTTCTAGAAAGCTCTTTCTATTGCGCTGCAGCTACGAAAGTAAAATTTTGTTTTGCACTTGGTTTGATTTACTTTCTCCACTGGGGTCTATGCATGGATTTATGCTAAACTTTCAGAGATCATTTGATGGCTCAACTTTTGAAAATTCTCAGGGCTAAACATTCTCCTAGGGAAAACTTTATAGAGCGCCGTAGGAGTGTAAAGAAGATGACATTTTGCGCAAATAGCTAACGCGCCAGTTAGGCTACATACCGAGTTTATTGATGTTTGTAAGAGAAATTCAAATATTGAAGGCACTTAGTCGTTACGAAAAAAGCAATTTTTATGAGAAAAACACATCCTTAAATGAATGATTGTTATAAAAAGATAAAACGCCACTGAGGTTACTTCTACAAGAGTATTACAAGAAACAACTCTTTTCACTTGAACCACTCATTCTCCTTATTTCATCTATGTTTTTAGGTCATTCAATAATCTAGTAAGTGCTGATTTTGACGGATGCTCTATTAAAGAAAAGAAGACATAGTCTTGTTTTTGGTGTAATTAGCTCGTTTTTTAAACTTCACGGTGGGATTTGCTTGCTTTATATAATTAAGTTTTGATTCTAAGGAAGCTTTATCGCTATAAAAAGACAAGTCGTCACTGAAAGTATTTATACAATAGTGTTTCAGAAAAAAGGCTCATTTGTCCTGAAAGTCCCTTCTTCAGTACAAAAGCTAC